GTAGCGTCCCTGCTCCTAGTAGTAAGGCCAGAAGCCCCGAACGTAGCTTCTTGTTCCTAGTAGCGATGCCAGGAGCCCCGAACGTAAGTGTTTGTGTTCGACGTCTTTGATCGTCTTTTGTTTCACTGCTGTCTGCTGTCACTTCTGTCTAGCGTCGCCCGCCTCCTTGCAGGCGTTCACCGCGGAACTCTTCGCGGCGCTCACCGTGAGGGCCATGCGTCGGGCGTGGCCACAGCTGAGGAAGTCTAAGGACTTTTGCCAGTGACCATCGCGTGCCAAGAGGCCTCAGGACCGAAGAGATCTCCGGAGTTCAGACAGGGCCCATCGTCTTGAGAAGGCCGAACGGTTCCACCGTCACTGATGACGCGCGCTTCTATAGAAAAACACATGTTCCCCAAAAAGACACCAAAAAAAATACACACCCAAAGTTGCTTGGTCTTCAGATGTCTAATTAGAGGTTGTGAAAAAAACAACCTATATTATACAACCTTTGATTATCGTTTGTTCTTCCTTATCGTGTAGTATTCAGTGCGCTGCACGCATGTGGTGTGTGGAACCTGGCAAAAGCACAATTCGTTCCTTCAGTGATCGCGTCCCGAACGGAAGACTACTTACTTCCTACGACAGACTTCGCTAGAAGCCTATGCAATAGCAACCCACCAAAGATCATTCCCTCCCCTCTATATACTGGAGATCACATGGGCGGGCCTGTCTACGGCATGCGGTGTTTTAGGCTGTGGTATGTTCTTACGGTTTTAGATGGTTTAGTGGGTGCAAGCACCTTTCCCACCGGTCCGTACTGCAAACATGTGCAAACATCACTCATCCTTTCCAAACAAGCAAGACTTACTCGGGATCTTGTTTTTCTTCCTAGCTTCTCCTTTTACAGTGGATTGAGCATGCTTCTGGCAAAAAAGGACATGTGAACATGACCGTCTTACACGGGGGGTTCATACTTTCTCTCTTGAACCATGATGCTCATTGCTGCACCATGACTATGCACCGTGGCTTCCACCCATCGGTCTTGCAAGGAATGCAAAAGTCGCCCTGCAGAGGACCAACTGCCTGGGGCCACGGCACCGGTCAATGCTGTGACAGCTGTTGGATGCTGTTGGTGCTTTTGGTGGGTCGAAACTCTTTCACCAGATGACATGACTAGTACGGCCAGGAGATCCTATAGTAGCGTCCTTGCTCCTAGGTAGCGATGCCCTTGGCTCCTAGTAGCTTCTTGTTATCTTGTTACTAGTTGCTTCAGATGACACGTGGCAAAAGGAACGTCGGCCTCGTCGCTTGGAGGCCAGGCCAGCCACGTGTGCAAAGCCATCCGGCGGAAAGCGCCGACAGGGCAACGCATCGAAGAGCACCAAGGCTTCCTGCCATCGCCGCACACTTTGCCAAGCCTCACGGCGTCGCGCGTCGCGTCGCTCAGCCCAGTGCTCTGGCGTTCCGCTGCCGCCCTTCCCGGAAGAAATCAGTCGGACGCATTTCTTCCGTGCATCTGTTTGGTGCCTCTCGGTTAGCTTGATGTCTTGTCACTTGGAGGGCTTCTCACAGACTGCTCAATGGATGCAGTAAGTTGAGAAACGGTCTAAGTATGTCGAAGTCAAGCCGCATGGTCAGATTGAACAAAGAACTGAACCAGTCAGCTACCGGCGGCGAGGTCGAGTCAGCGTGTCCAACTTCGACCAAGTCGCGTTGATGGTCATGGTGTGGCAAATTAAGTCCTTCAGCAAACAAAGTTGATATGATTTCATCTACAGTCCCGGAAATCGTCAAAAATATAAGAGGCACAATGATCATCCAAGGGGCCATGCCATTCCCAACGGTTTCTTAGACGAACACCAAAAGCAGAAAACAGCAAGGCCAGCACGGCCCAAGGCCCACCCATTTTAGATCTTGGTGCCGATCGTTCTTACACAACATGAGAGAACGCACTGGTTTCTCCAAGAAGTTCCTCCCTGACCTCTCAGCTTCATCATGTTTCTTCCCGTTTCTTCGGGTTTCCCCCCCCGGTCCAGGTCTAGGTCACCATCCAAGATCTGCAGTGCCGCAGTCCACGCGGTGCAACCGCAAGCAGCCAAGACGTTCGATCGGCTGACCACTCCAGGCACCAACCCTCTCTCCTCCAAGAGCTCTCTGTGCGTGACATGTGGAAAGGCTGGCGCGTTCGTTGGCAGAAGGGATCGTATATGGTGTACAGCAACAGGACACGACTCCGCAACCCCTTCAAGCTCACAGATTTGATGACCTCAAGCAATGTGCAACATCATACCCCTTCATTTCAAACACAATACTACTCACAAGAATACTACTGCCTGTGGCGTCCTTCCATATGAAAATCCAATGCAAGTGGTCACCGTGATCCCCTGTCATCCGCTCTCATTCGCGGGAACGCTGCGCAACTGTGGCGCATTCGGGTTCCCGCCGCACGTCTTCACGCGGTCCTCCATGCCGCCCAGCAAATCCACGGCGAAGATCCAACTCTGGGGATCTTCATCCGCCCTCGTCCCGCTGAGAATGGCACTGACCTCGGTTTTGCAGGGGCTCCTGGCCTTACTGCTAGGAGCGATCGGACGCTACGAATGGAGCTCCTGGCATCGCTACGAACGGAGCATTCTCACTACGTCCTCGGTTTGGTGCGTGCACTACGTCCTCGGAACCGACGGCGCGGCGCGACGTGAGCCGGGCCGGACGAGGTCGGACGAGGTCACCGAGGTACCCGATGTGACGGACCAAGTCTGCATATTCATCGCTTCGTTCGTAACAAGTGCCTTACTAGTAGTAACAAGAAGCTACTAGTAACAAGTGCATCGCTACTAGTAGCAAGTGCCTAGTAGTAACAAGAAGCTATTAGAAACCATTTAGTTTAATTCTAATTGCCGATATTCAATCTTCCCTTTCCTCATCGGTCATGCGAAGCATGCAAAGCATGCGAAGCACTGTGACTTGCCAAGTAGCTAAACCTTGATCAGCTTGGATTGACTGGCGGCAGGAGTCCTAACATGAGTCATCTGCTTGAGTCGAACGCTTCATGCTACTTCTCGTAGCTGCTTCTTCTTTTTCTCCAGCTTCATGCCACGTCAACATGGATCGTTTTCACGTCTCTCCTCAAAAAGGCTCCAAGCATTCTCCCAACGACCTCCTTGTGCACACACATTGCCCGCCGCGTTGGCCGAGACGATGTCTCCCTCGATGGCCTCCAGCCGCCGAAGGGCACAGGCTTGCGACCCCAAAGAACCGCCCTGCTCCGCCCTGCTTTCTCCCCGTTTCCCGTCGGGTGGGTCGCGCGTGGCTCCAAACACCGGCACGAACGGCTGGTTTTTCAGAACTGCGAAGGGCCTCACTCTGCATGTGGGCGAGCACAGACTGGGCCATTGACCAGGTGCTTGGGGTGCCACAACCTCCCAGCAGCGAGGTGAAGGACATCACATCCTGGGTGCGACGCCGGTCACTGGGAGGTGCAAAACGCCAGCGCCCGATTGGGGGGCCAAAGGGCTTTGATGGTTGAAACATGTTGGATACCTCATGAAAAAAAGGTCCGGCTAAGGATGTCTTCCGTAATCTTCTGTACTTGTTGAATGTTCGGGTCCCAAAACTCATTTTGCTGAGCAAACGACGGTTCCATTCCAAGTTGCAGCTTGCAAGCCCGATGCCACCAGACCTTCTAAGAGCACGAGTGCAACATCCCAGCGTAGTGCTGTAGCACAGCTTCGAATCGCAGCATTCCAGTCTTGGTCACTTTCAGAGCAAAAACGGACGACGACATCACGAACCATGGCAATACCATTTGATTGACCAAACTGAACTCCAACATCAGTGGTTCTGACGTCAGTCGGACCGTTTTCAGGGCCTCAGTCGGTCGGTCCCGTTTTCGTTCGAACGAAGCTTCGGCCATGTGACTTGCGGAGACCGGTGGCAAACGCATGTCTGACATCTCTGCCAACAGAGCCACAGCCACTGGCCATTCGCCCTCCAGTTGGCAAGCACTGATGGCTGCATTGTAACCTCAAAAATCACCCGGGAATCTCTCAAACTATCAGCCAAATCTCCCCATTTTCACCGCTATATTGGTGCTTTACTTCGAAGCCAAATCTCCCCCTACCAGGTTGGAAGTCAGATCTGCAAAGTTTGATCCGGTGCGGTCATTCACCAAAGCCTCTCGAGGCAATGCTGTCCGTGTAGCTGATGGGGTCACGATGCAGCATCGTGCAAAGCCAATGCAAGGCTTCTTTCCATTCCCCCGAGCTAGCACATGCGCTCATGAGTGCATTGCAGCAAATCATGTCGCAACTCACCTGGTCACCGGGGGCGGCGCCGACGACCGTCGGTCTCGGGAAACGAAGTCGACTTTAGTCCTGAAACAGGATCTTGTTTCAGGTGAAACTGTTGGATTCCAAAAGCCGACCACCCCATTTAACACCTCTTCTCCACCTTGTCCCCCCAAAAACGAGTGTCACACCGGCGATGGCCTTGCGTCGAGGCATCTCCAGCAACAACTCTTCCGCCATTCTCCATTGGTATCCTCGAGCCAGTTGGATCTTTTGGGGAAAGGAACGTGAACCAACCTAGCGCTTCCAAGGGGTGCCCAATGGAGACCTGTAAGTAGTGTGGAGATGTCCATTGGTGACCCCGCAGCTAGCAGCTAGAAGAGATCTTGTTCTTCTGGCGTCTCAGATCTCCATGGTTTTCTCTCAAAGACTGACCAATGAACGACTCATCTAACCGTCGCCGAGGATCCCTTCTCGCAAGCGCTGAGTGCTGCAGTGTAGCTAAACTTGTTCAAGTCCACTGCCTGCTGGCGGATCGCCTCCATGTGCTTCACCGCTTGTTGCCTCGCAGATTGTCGCCGGAAGGTGGTCTGAAAAGCAAAAAGCAAAAAAGAACCGAGAAGACTTGAATGACTTGCAGTGGAAGTGGGGTCTTCATGGTGTTTGACATGTTTGACGCTAAGAAACAGTTATACTTATATTATATCGTCACTATCAGTCAGTATGTCTATGTGCATCTGTGGCTCCATCTCCTCTTGCAAGCGTTCAGCACGGCATTCAAGTGGTAAATTGCTGGTTGCAATCCTTTGGCTTCTAAGGCCCGGATGGCACTTGCCACCTGAAGAGGTGAAGGCTTAGCAAGTGTTCCACACTAGCAATGGCCTCCAACCTACTTGTGATGACCTCCAACCTAATAGCAATGGCCTCCCCCCTGGTAGCATTCCACGCACGCACTCCGTCTTTCAAGACGGCCCCCGACATTCTTCCGACACTTGTTTCTGCACCAAGCCATCTCAGCTCAGGAAAACACTGGACATCATCCACCAACAAACACATCAACCAACGCATTCTTCGAGCGCTCGAATGGTCCTGAAGGACGGGCCGAGCCTCATCTGGCCGCCTCCTCTGTGCCAGCTGGTTGAGCACGCTCACCGTGTCGCAGGAGCGAGGGGGACCCACCATGGCGGAAGAACAAGCCGGCGCCAAGAGCGAAGGAAATTCCCACCCCCCACCAAAACTGGCGGGCAGGGAAACCCCATGTGTCAAATCTGCTCTTCAGGTCGACGCCGGACTCATGGGGCCGACCCAAAACGCCCACAAACTCTGTTTTTCCTTGCTACGAACATGGAACAAGTGCATCGCTACTAGTAGCAAGGACGCTACTGGTAGACTATAGTAGCAAGAAGCTATTAGGTTGGAGGCCATCGCTACTAGTAAGCTTCCTTTGGCCTCTTCGCGATCCAGCAACCAGCTCGCTAGAGTTGACGGCTCAGTTCTGCTCAGCACCCCGGCGCATGTCCCTTCTGACAAACGGCCTGGGCAGCTGAGGAATGCAATTGACATTCCGCACAGCAAGCAAGTGCCCTTAATTGAAAGAAACATCATTGAAGTATAACATCAACTCCAGCATCGCTCTCGGTCTTTGTTGCCAACAACTTCTTCAAACGGACAATGCTGGCATAAACAGTTCGTCTACGATGTAGGCGGACTTGCGATGGGCCTTGACGTTCTTCCCGCTCGAAGCTCCTGAGCACGAGCAAAGACATCAGGCAGCAATTGGACACTTGCATGACATTACGACACCCATTCTTGTCCACCAAACCAACCGATTGCAGAGACGCATGCTCAAACATCCTCACATGAGTGTGCCAAAGCCAAGGCTTGGATGATGGAGTATGGCGTCACATGATGTCTCTCGTTTCCAAGCAACCATTTTGAGCAAACCCATCCGGAACATAGCCTGGCCAAACATGACGTTGTGCCACTATGCCATTCCAAGTCACAAATCATGTAGATCATGAGGAATGTAGCTGGGGCTGCGCGAGTCCTCATTTCCACAAAGGGCACGCTGAACCCTGGAAGCCCCTGGAACAAGGACGCCGCGACCATTCGGACGCCATGCAAAGACCGTTTCACACTGAAGGACGACCGTCCTCCAAGCTCTGCACAGTGCCCCGCTGCATGGCGGAAGACGCGTGCGCACGGGCAGTGCTGAGAGCCCGAGTCGGCCGTGAGGGTCGAACGCGTGGAAGGATCTTCTTGCCCTCCAACCTTAGCAATGGCCTCCAACCCGCGATGGCCTTGACTTCACCCTAAAAAAGCTCTTGAAAGCAAAAGGCCCGAAACTGCCGGGCCAAATCAGTGTACGATAAAGTTGGTACACTACACAAATTCCACGATCTTTGGTAAAATAAAGTAGAGTAGTGGTAGATTCCAGGATCTTGATCCCTGACGTCGCGTGACCCATCGCGGTTTACGCACGCGGTTACGTGGGCGGCACCCCGAGCAAGGAATAGGACCGCTGGGAGATGGTGCCTGCGGAGCGAAAATGCATGAAGATGCCACTTGATGCCACAATCCCTTCGTCGAATGAAGAAGCAAAAAAAAAAGAAGCAGAAAATGCCCAGGACCTTCCCAGTGACCTCTTCAGGATTGGTAAGTGACCTGAAATCAAGGCCTAAGTGACCTCATTCTGGGATCTCAAAAGGTCACTGCGAAGGTCCTGGCCATGGATGTTTCATGATGTTTCCAGAGTTTAACTGCATGTTCTGCAGCATGGTTCTGCTTTAAACTTGAAGGATGACAGCATGCGCAGCAATAACTGCAATGAGCCAAACAAAATGATGCCCTTATAGAAAAAAAACTTTAAGGAATCAATCATATATCGATGGCCTCCACCCTAGTAGCGATAGCCTCCTCAAATAGGAATGGCCAACCCAATAGCAATGGGGACTGGTCTGATTCTTCAAGGACTCCGCTTGTCCGTGCGACTCACGCGGCCCCACTTGCAAGACACACCGGAAACCGCGGGCCACTCTTGGGCCCTTTGACGGGCATTCCGCTTTTCTCCCCAAAATAGTGTGGACACACATCCGAGGTTCTATCCCGGTGTTGCGGGATCGAGTCGGCCTTCGGTGTCCCGAAGCTCCGAGCTACTGAAGTGATCCGAAGCTCCGAGTCCACCCGAAGCTCCGGAAAGTCATGGTCCACTTCCGCCAGAGGAAACCACAAAAAAACGAATCAAGGGGCAAAGATGGCATGGTCCTGACTCGGATGAGAGGCGCGAATTCGACCGGTCCCAGCCAACGTACTTCCCATCGCCCACTTCCGATGGATTCTTTCCACCCGTGAAAGATGCGCCGCAAGAAAAACAGAAACTCACACGGCCAAACATTGTAGGACACTCTGTGAAAACTCTCTTGTGGAGGCCATTCTCTCCATTCTCCTTCCGATTCCTCCCATCCTCCCCCCTCCGCGCCAAAGGCCAGCTCCGACGAGGCCGCGAAGTCGCCCACCGAGCCGAAGTCACCTTTTTCGCGACGACCACGACCCGGTTCGTCACGACGCGTGGAACCGGGGTGAGTTCGGAAAGGCCGGGAAGAGGGAAGAGGACGCCGTTCTTGAGTTCACACGGAGTTGAGTTCGACTCAACGAACTGTTTGCATCCTTTCTTCGAACAGCTGAGACTTCGACTGGTGATGTGCTCCGGAAAACCGATGATCTTCTTGCTTCCTTCACCAGAGCAACGCGTTCGACAGAAAAATAGACTATGCTCTCGTATTAACACCTCATAACTATAGTTGCAGTACCCTAATTAGGGCATCGAAGCTTCGAACATGTCAATGCATTTCGTGGCAGGCATGGTGCGGCATGGCACTGTTGATTCATGCTGGTTCTACCTGCCACGAAACTGCGAGCGCCTCCATCACCAGGATGCTTCGATCTGAACTCACCCAAAACGCAAGGCAGCAGCAGCATCTGCTCAAAGTATGCACCCTGCAACGGTCAAAACATGTTCTCAAAGGATTGACCCGAATTGAACGTTCTGAGCAGGCTCCGGATGTCTTTCAAAGGGCGGTGATGCGAGGTGCAACACGACTGCTTCACTGTCCTTTCAACGATCATCGTGCTGCACTGCCGACGCCGACAACAGGCGTTGTTAACCTCTTATCTCCAGCGGGACCGCAGTGACGGCTGCGCCTGGTTCGCGTCGATGCACTGCACAAAGGTCCCCCGGGTAAAGTGCACGGCCGTGTTTTGATTGTCACCCTTTCCATCGCCCAAGATGGGGTACCTGCCCGAGTCCACGGCGTCACGATGCGTCATCGTCACACATCGTCACACCGGTGCGTTCCAAAAGAACACCATCCGTCTTTTCGACCAGTTGGCACCCAGGAATCTCGATCTTGTACTTCGGTGTCCGACGCCCTTGACCATCCACCGGGCAAGTGGCATCGATGAGGCCTCGGTGCGGAATTCGGTGGACCCCAAAACGGAACAGACTTCAGGTACCAACGGGCCAAGCTCTCTGGGAAGAGTTCCAGTTGTTCGACCAATTCGGGCTCCAGCCACCCCTGGTTGGTGGTAGGTGGGGCGAACTAAAGTGGCGTTGGTTGGCTGGCATAGTGACATAAAGGGTGATGGGAGGGGGAAGAGGTGGCGGTATTAATGAGGTCGGACCTATCGTGGGTTGTTGGACGAAGAAGATCCTGTATGGGATAGAATAGAACCTACTGCTGTATAATATGACCGTATTGCCGATCGTGGCGGTAGAATATTGAATCTCTTTTCTCGAATGTGGGCATTTTGGATGCCAAGCTGCTCCTTTCCGCCCCCCTGCGGAAGAAGAACACCCTGCCGAGCCGCAGCTGTAGTATCGACGCTTCTGATCTTCGTGGATGCAATCCGGCCGCTCGGAGCCCTGGCCACCGACTCCGGAGTGATGGCTTGAGGCTGGATTGGAAGGAGACGAGATGAACATGGCGAACAAAAAGCATGGCCAAGAGTCCAAGAGTTATAACACACGGCTCAAAGGCTACACTTCCCAAATTCTGCATCGTTTGGAATCCCTTTGAAGGACACCATTTGTCAACATCTGGTCACGTCTGGCCCAGGCGTCCTCCAAATCTTCGCAATCGATGAAGGCCACCTGAAGGCGTCTCGCCACGGACGAATCGGTCGAATCGGACCTCGTGCTTCGACCGCGCGCGGTCGACTCGTCTTTCGTCGCACCTTCATGGACTTGGGGAACTTTTTGAACATGATGTTGGTGTGCTTGAGCTGCATGCTGTTAAAGAAGGCGTACATTTGCATGGCCACCTCGGAGACCGATTCACCGCACCAAACGGTCTGTCTTGCGACCCAACCGAGCTCCCGTGCCACGCAGGTGAAGGCATCGCTGGGATCCCAAATCAATCCCAGCCTGGGCACATCGGTCGCTCGGTCGCCGCGTGCACGTCAGGGTGACATTTCTTTGCCGCCCGGGAGCTTGTTGCGACGATCCCCTTGAGCTTCGAAGTGGCATTGCAGGGCATTGTGGTACAACCTGAGCGAGAGAACGAAGCCAACACGGACAGGGAACGAAACCAGAGTGCTTGAAAGTATTTTCAAAAGAACACGCCTCGGGCTCCCGAACATCATTCCAGACACGGTGCGGAAGAGAGTTTGCATCCGCATGGACGCCCAATAACCTTGGCGTCAGAAGGTGCAAAGGAAACACACTAAAATGCACAGGACAGGACACAATGACGAAATTGGTAGGCCTGGTAGGCCTTTCGGCGACTTGCTGTACGTATTTGTTCTCCTCCCTCCTCACAATCCAAGGCCAGTGGCTGAGCTTCTCCCAATTCTCATCACTGTACTTCCCCCAATCAGTACCAGCCTGCAGGAGAGGCTGCTCAAATCTGTCACAGGTGCTGTCTGATTTCCTGAGGTTGCAGCTTTAGGCCACGTAATTCCACGCACATACCTCGGCACTCAAGCATTTTGCACATCCCTTGTAAAATCCCACCCTTGCCCTCGCCGCCCAAATCCTGCCCCTGGGCTCCACGGGCCCAGTGCTGGTCATCTTCTCGGAGAAGTTGTCAAACTCATCCTGCCACGTCGGCACGGTTGGCAGCACCGGCACACGGGCAGCATGAATAACTCAGCGGAACGTCGATGGATCGCAATCTGAAGCGAAAAGGCAGTTCCAATTCTAATTCTTGTTCCTAATAGCTTCTTGTTAATAGTAGTAAGACCAGGAGCCCCTAGTAGCGTCCAGGAGCCCCTAGTAGCGTCCTTGCTCCTAGTAGTAAGGCCAGGAGCCCCCAGTAGCGTCCTTGCTCCTAGTAGTAAGGCCAGGAGCCCCCAGTAGCGTCCTTGCTCCTAGTGCAACAGCTTTTGGAAAGATCTCGCCGTTTTTTTTTGGACTGTCGGTGGATGGTTTGAGCCATCTAGGCTGTCCGTAGTTGGAATATGAGTACCGCTCCCAGCAATTCGAAGCATCGCTTTGCACCATATTCCCAGACACTCCGAGGGACTACCCCAATGCATGTGTATATTAAGAGATGGTGGCAGCAAACAGGTCGTCTGGGTGTGTCAACCTCGAGACGAAACGCCTTGTACTTGTCGGCCAACCAATCCATCAACGGGATGCTGTAGAACTCTTGGTGCGGTGGCCTTAAATGGCGTAGAGCACGCAAATGGCACTTGCCCCTGGTCACGTGCAAAGCGGAGCCCCAAATGAACTATTCGCAAGTCGACTTGCAAACTGTCCTCTTTCCTTTTGGCTCATCGCAGTCCACGTTTCTTCTTTGGCATCACGCCGGTGAATTAAGCCCTATGAAGTCCAAAGACTATATTTTGACAGACTGGAGTAAAGGAAGTTACCATGTAATAGTCTTTGACTCGCAGGGTAAGTATAGCACGAAAATAGAGTATACCTCCCTTGCGAAATGTGCCGAAACATCGGCATGTTGCCAACTTTGGGCTCACACGTATATACAGGCCTGCGCCGAGTTACAGGCGCACCGGTGCCAAAGACCCTCAATCACAAACCACCTTCTCCTTCACAATTCACAAAAATTCGGCAAACATCTCACTGGTGACCACCGGCTTCAGCAGCAAAACCATTGAAGACTTGCTCCAACGAGGATTGGCCTTAGTAGCTCGTTCGGGTGCTGCGGCGAGGACTGGGCGTCCGAACAGCTCGTGAGGCAAGGCCGACGGGGACCGGTCAGGCAGCCCGCACCGGTTCTCACGGTCCAAGGTGCATACGGCAAAGTCACTGAGTCCAAATCGTGCTTTCTCCTGGCGCAGGTTTTACGGAACTCTCGACTCTGAAGAAAAACATCAACATGTTCAATTTTATCTCAAATCTGGAACGGCTTAAAACACGTTTTGGTCGATTCATGGTCTCCAAATGGCCCCTCCACAAAGCATGCCGCAGCATCGTCCTTGCTCAGCATGGCGAAGAGCTGCGGCAGCTGTGCTTCTCCGGCCAAAGGGAGTCGCAGTCGCAACGAAGAGCCATGGTTCTCAAGGACCAGCACCTGCCGGAATCGGTGTCGGTGCCGGAATCCATGTTGCATGTGTGTCTCACGCGGACAAGAAACCAATGGGATAGCATCAACGTCGCTTTTTTGGCGTTTTCTTTCATCGAACGACAGCATGTACAAACATGTAGGCGTTCTACATGGGCATCCAGCTCTGGACATCCAGCTCCATCCCAACTTCCCTTTCGGAACGCTCGGCCACAAGAACACGCCGTAACACGCCACCGGCCTCTCCCAGGTTCAAGTCTCCCAAGCCACCCGGCTCCGAGAAGAAGTCTGCCGGCGAAAGGGTTTGAACCCCACGATGAGACTGGAAGTCCCGTCGGCGTCTGGAAAGAGTTGATGTTCATCATTTCATGAGTTCATTCAAGAGGTAAACTTGGAATTTCAGATAATTATGATGAAGTTGTTATTGGAACGACCTCCGTTACTATTATACTATTTGTATTTATACCATGAACATCATATCCTGGACCATCCCATGATGGTGTCCTACTATGCACCCCACGTAACGGGATCTCCAGGTCTGGTCGGAAGACGACGAAACGAGCCTTTCAGATCTTCCACGTGCTGTTGTGTGATCACCCACTCAGCCAGAACCTCCACGGCCACTTCCTCACGTTCACTCACTCCAGCACCGCACGCACAGCCATTCAGTGAAACCTCACGCGATGGTGACCTGAGTGATCGAAACACTCCGCAGCTGTCCTGCTGCCCTTCTGGTATTGGTCCCGAAGGCAGTGTAGCTGCAGTCACCAGCTTCTCATCCAGAACATTGATCGCCTCATGGCCGTGCTGGGCTTGGCTGGCTTTCAAGGCTCAAAATTGGAGGACCAAGCGTCTCCACCATCTTGAAGCCCAAACCGATCTTTTTGTAAAGTCTACACCGAGGTTCAATGAGAAACGATCGGTGGCTCCACTTTCAACGCCAGCAGGACGACACAACGACAACGTCGACCGATCCGCGGTTCCGCGGATGCGCCTGGTTCTTGGACATCATGGTGTAACCACTCCGGTCGAGTTCCCAACCTGTGCTTTCCAGCTTGGTGATTCAATCGACCGGTCTCTCTTCAAGCAAACTGTAAACTGTAAACCAACACGAAGACATCTTCAACTGGCATTCGGTTTGCAAATGGAAAGCACATGTCGCAACTGGCATTCGGTTCGTCAATTCCAGCAACATCGGACCTTCGCTTCAGACCTTGGGGTTCGCCTCCAAACTCCGGCACCGGAGACCGGACGGACCGACCGGTCTCCGGAGTGTTCGCGCGCCTGAAGGAAGCATTTGCATGGCTCGTTGTGACAAGGCATCTCGGTCGATCGCCCGGAACTTGGCGCTCACCTCATATCCTGGAGCTGACCGGGGCGGAGGGGCGGGTCGAGCTGGCAGGGAAAGAGCCGGTGCCGCGGCAGAAGGGTCGGAGGCTCGGAATGGGATCGCACTCCAAGTTTTGGGAGGCGCGGATCTCAATCTATCGCTTCCAGTCTTCTTCGCATGTAAACCATCTCTCACCCAGTCGTGCCTTTGCCATACTTGGACTTCAAGTGCTGTGCAGAGCCAAGGCCTTAGTCCGGTCATCTGGCGACATCGTCCGACGTCAAACCCCGTCTGTCGTCTGCCCGGCATCGGAACTGTCCATCCACCTGGATAGCGATGCTGCTGCACAGTGCCTGGATGGGCACACGCGCGCGGTCACAACACCGCGCTGAACCGCGGGGGTGAACAGCGGTGGTTTCGAACGAAAGGTGGACCCCGCGTCTCACTCGTCATGCAGTGACTCTCGGTGTTTTATGCTCCTTTCTTTTTGGGTGGGATGTATAGCACAAGGTTTCAGTGAAAGACTCGAAGAATCTTGAGGAATCCGTCTGCATCTGTGGCCTCGGCTTCTTCCATGGAGTGCGTGGTCAACACGACCACCGACTGTTTGCGCTTCTCTGCAACATCCTGCCCAGTAATACACGCGTGGAGCGGTACATGTGCGGTCACGGAAGCCACTTGCAAGTTGAAACATACGGAAGCCCAAAGCCTTCACCATAACAAGAACGTTTGATCTGGTTGAACACCAGCCGTCCTGGATCACAGACCACATGAAGCGCCTGGCAAATGGATCCATGCCTGGCAAGACCCCAAGACCGACCGATTGATCCGGCCAAGAGGACGTCCCCAAATCGTGCCTGGTTTTTGCCCAGCAAGGGAAGTTGAAATTTACCTCCACCTTGTGAGGATGTTGGAGCCCTAGGGTGTGGTAAAGCAGGACCATCCTGTCTGGGTGTCCTGGCTGTACTTAAGGGATCTTCAGACAGGACACCCAAATAGGATGGTCCAGGTATGCGAGCTCACTTTTAAAATACTGCATGTTCTCTTGCCCGAAAAACTACCATAGAGAGATTTGGGTAGGGCCCATGGTCCACACATTGCTATTTAGTCCTGTGTGTTTGTTTACAATTCAGCCTTGTCCAATCGAATTCGCCTAAAACATGGTTTCTGCCTGCGCGAAATGTCCGGTCTCTGCCTGTGCTCGGCTCGTCCAGAAAGATCACTGGAGGTTCTCCAATCAATGCCATGGCCACCGAGAGCTTCCGCTTGTTCCCTGCACACGTGGCTTACGTCTGGTGGACCGACCTCTCCCCATGTATTGCTGAAGAAGATGTCTCGACTTTTCGAAAAATCCCAATGTGGTAGAGCATCCTTTCACCGGACTCGCATTGTGTTTCTTCCCGAAGACCCGAAACAACACCCCCATGCGGGCAGGTGGAGGACGAAGTCCTGACCGTTCACAGCGCCTCCAGACAGAGTGCCCGCCCTGCGATAGCGATACATTGATAACTGCATCTCATTGATTTTGTCATCCACCTTAGCTGAGGAAAAAGTGTGCACGGAGTGCACTGTCGGGTCAAGTACGGAAACTCGTTCTATTCCTATCGGTCAGCGCCACTGTCATCCTCAACTCCCTGTCCCAGCGACAGCTGTCTGCAAGTCGCGGCCAACCAGGCCTGGCTGTCGAAAGCCGCCAGCGCCAGCGTGGTGGTTCAAACCGGACCAATGGTGGACGAACAGGACTGCACAAAGTGTTTCAGGTAGGAGCAAGGACGCTACTAGGAGCAAAGGGCATCGCTACTAACGCTACTAGGGCATGTGACGCAAGTGCGGAGACTTGCGCAAACTGTAAACTCTTCTCACCCAACGAACGGAGCAATTCCTCCACAACTGCCTGCCTTTCATTCGGCCATAGAGATACAAATGTGATTCCACCGTCATTACATGGATGAGAGCGTCAAACTGCGGGCAGTAGCCTGTGCGGCCCCAAGACCCGCAGAATGCAAGCACTCACAAGTGGGACAGGCATTTCAGGGGTCTTTGTGGAGGTGGCATGGGAATCGTACTAGGTTGGAGGCCATCGCTACTAGCAACAAGGAGCTACGTTTGGGGCTCCTGGCCGTACTGAGGAGCAAGGTTCGCCCACGAACGGTGCGGCCTCGCTACGAACGGAAGCGATCGGACGCGAGGTTGGAGGCCATCGAGCTCGGTTTCTGTAGTACCAAGAAGCTACTAGGAACAAGTGCATCGCTTCGTTCGTAACAAGTGCCTTACTACTAGTAACAAGAAGCTATTAGTTAATTTAATTTTATTTAAGAAGCTAGTAGAAACCGTTTTCACGCCCAGCAGCCGATGAGGCGCCGTGCGCGGCTCGTTTCTTCCACCATATCGATACCTCGGAGGGTGGACCGGGGGGGAGGACAGTGGAACCAAAAGGGGGCCCTCTTATCTGTCCTAGTCATCTGTCCTACAATTCTTCATAAGAGGACATTGTCTTGTATACAGGGCATGGTCTTATTCAATATTCTCCCACTTATTTCTCCTGTATGGTCCGTTCTCACCTCCTTTTGTTCATCAGTTGATCGTATTATACCCAAAAAATACATCCAACCCTAAGAATCCGAGCCCTCCAACAGATAGGGTTTGGGAACCGGGCCCGGACCCCTGCCAAGAGGTCGGGCCCCCCTGCCATGGAGAGCCCGACTCCAAAATGAGGTCGACTCGTTGACTCGTCGTTCGGCCAAGACACCGAGGATTCGAACTTCTCCCTCAGATGGAGTGTAGATACCTGATGCGGAGGAACGGGAGTTTGCGGACAGAGACCTGGACCTGGACCGTCGGATCCGGCGATGGATCGCAGCACCAAACAGCACTGCCTTCAGTGCATTCGACACGGCCTTCCAGCCTGACATGAGTTTGAAAGAGGTCGTCTTGCCCGCGCCATTCACACCCAGGAGACCAAAGACCATACCCTGCATCGAGCATGCGCAAACTCTCGGGCCGTCGACGAGTTTCTGTCTTCATCCTGACTCACATGTTCTGCGTGAAACAAGGACGCTACGAACGTGGCTCCTGGCCGTATTACTATAGGAACAAAAAGGCTACGAACGGAGCCTGAAGAATCAATATGAATCAATTGGGCCTGATCAGCTGCCCAAGTGACTCCTCGAACTGCATGTGTCACCTGCCGGCTTCAAGCCCTGACTCTTCGACCAAAAGGTGAAGTTCTCTCGCCAAAATCCCCCTTCACCTCGTGCACCCACCACAAACCTTACACTGCCTTGACATGCTCAGCAAACGAATGATCGTATGTTTCACTCAGCGTACGGACATCTACTTCACTCTCTCATCACGCTACCGTCTACCGAACACTCCGTCTACCGTCGACCATCGCCGGCCGAACCGGACCATGCCTCATTCTGTCTGCGACGTCCACATGTGGTGTTCGTCGGTTTTTGGGGACACCCGTTGTGGACACCGTTCGATGTTCTTCGTCCACACGGTGTCCAGGCGAACCCACCCGATCACGGCGTTCCTTCTTCTCATCGGACCACCCGATCTCTACGCTGGTGCGAGGTGAGAGGTGACGGCTTGGGAGGGGCTCGTCTAGAGAGGGCTGTGAGGAACATCGTTGCAGTTGGGTGCAACGCCATCCTGCTCCACAGGCAGGAGCTGCACTAGAAGCAGCGAAGGAGACCGAACAAGCCTAGAGGAGAGGAATCCAGGAAGGCAAAGACTTTGGCTATAGGACCATAGGATGTCCTTCTTTATCAAGCGTGATGAGGCATAGACTTATGAATCATACTGCCACTTGGATTCATTCAAATTACTTTTCTCTTCTCGCAGTTCACTGCGTCTCTTTCCTTGGTCTTGCCCACGAACCAGCCACGAACGAGCTCATGTCGACCCACGAACGGACAGCGCATCGCAACACTGTTAACGTGACGCGAAAGCGCTACGAGGCGAACGGAGATTCAAAGGGCTACTGTGAAAAAAATGGTGAACCCAGTTTTGTATGTCTCCGCAGTCTCAACCCTGAAACATGGAATCATTGCCGTGCGTTTGAGAATAAAGAGACCTGCAGGTGGTGCGTTCCAAACGACCCCGCATGGCATGCGCCTTGGAACTGAGCATGCTGCCGTAGGCCTTTCGCAAACCCTTCACATACATCACCTGCACTGTCAAAAACGACACTCTGATTGGTGGCCCGAGTTTGCTCAGTTCTTCCGAGCCTAACACACAAGCGGGAAGGAAAAAACACACTCCATGGGACCAGCATATTGCACATATTAATATACAAAAAACTTGGGGTGGTTGGTTGAACAGGTTTGGGCCCGGTCAAGTCCTGCCAGTCCCATATCAGTCGTGTTGTGTCAACATCTCTGCCTGCTTTCGCGGATCGACCTCTGCCACTCGTCTCTTCTCTTCTTGCACATCGTCATCCTTGTGGCGATCCACGTGATCCCGGTTTGGGGGGGTCAATGTATGGCACATACATGTGCTATATATAAAATACCCTGAAAGTCCAATGACCCTTTTCAACCTGGTCTTTCGCTCACTCACTCACTCACTCACTCACTCTCTGTCTCTCTCTCTCTCTCTCGATCGTCTGCGTCCTCCAAGCGAAGAAGTTCCGGAGGCACTGAGGTCTTCCGGGTGAAGAAGCGTGCCAAACGGGGACTCTCGGACAAATCCTGAGGTCTTCCGGGAACGCACATGTCCGGGAAAGGACCGAGAGTCAAGACACAAGTAAAGCCGGCCCCGATACACGAAGTCGGTCGGTCAATCGTTGTTGTGAAGTCCCTCTGTCAGTGAGGGAGCATCCAACATGTCACGACCGTAAGTGTCAAGGTGGTTGAGATCCCTCTGGAGCATCCTGAACTCTCACATTCTGACGCTTCGTTGTGCCCTCCGTTTGACCAGCGTCGTCCAGGAGCATCGCAAGGAGTGGGAAAAGGATGCACCTAAGGAGAGCCCAGAGGAAATCAAGGGCTAAAAATGTGCCAAGCTGAAAGAAATACGTGGAACCTCTGCAAGCTCCATTGCGTGTTAGCACAAGCACACAAGAAGTGAAGCCGCCTTCATTGTATGAAGTTCCTTCGACATCTGACAAGGAAGGAGTTTGAGAAAGGGCGTCCAATTCTCGCATCTTTCCCGAAGAACACGACAAAAACATGCAAAAACCATGACGGCCAGTGCACACTGTGCACACTGTGCACGCCGAAGACCATCCCCAGTAAAGGCGGTAGCTCCCCCCCCCTTCGTGAGCCCGTCAGCCCGTGCTCCGGTGGCCGACGGT